TTTGTTTTTTACTTTTCTGTTGAGTTAAAGTTGTTCTATGACGACGGTTTTGAGCAAAAAATTGAGTTTACTTCGAATGATGCCTAAAAAATGGAGATTTGAGCTGAATTTAGATGAACTCTAAGGTGAATTTGATTACTTATTGCTTCTTACACTCTAAACTACAATTTGTGTACTTTAAATCTCTATATTTACTGCTATTTTTACCATAAAAATAAGATTTTTGAACTTTTGCTGACGATATTGTTTCCATTTTTACCTCACCTTGAAACGCATATAACCAACGGTCCTGACGTAGTAGCATTGTAATTTTTTTATATGTAAAAGCAAGCCTCTTCGTCTTTATTCTGAAGCCATCTGGTTTTTCTGAAACCATTTTTGGCCTGCGATATCAGCGATATTACACTTGCCCCTTCAGATGTGGCTAAATTAAGGTTTGACTCAAAATTATGGCTTTTCCATTCGTAACGCTACGATTTGCTATCTGACAATAAAAATAGATTCTATATAGTGTTTAAAAATAGTTATTTTGCAGCTGTACACCTATTATTCCACCAGATATTGACCATGTTATACCAGACGTCCCGGATATCCCAAACTCTTCCAAAACGCTCTCCAAAAGTTTCAAAAACTTTGGAGACTTGTCCAAACATCCACAAGGGCCTTTTCTGTTCTTTGCACTACTATATATGTAAACTGCAATTCGAGTGGAAACTCGGCTTTCCCCCATTTTTTACACACTTTCGTAAAAAACGGCTACTTATGGAGGAATGTTCGCATATTTATAAAAACACTCGTGGTCTTTACAAGTTTTCTGGCTCAATTCGAACACGAACAAAGCTGCCGCTTACGAACAGTACTTAGTGTGTACGTATGTCTGTCTATGCACCAAATGGGAGGGAGGGAATGGGTGTTGTCATGGAGGGGAATTACGAGGAATGATGTTGGGGCCGGATTGAGAAGGTGTCTGCGAGCGCACGGAAAGGGTTCATCTCGTTGTTGAGAGGGTGCAAGAAGGTGTTATGATGCGGGATTTTGGGGGATTTCGTATGGCGAGCCGGGAGATATAATGATATCATTGTGGTAGTGGGTTTTTGGGAGGCTTGCGGGGAAAATTGAAATTTCACTTGAAATTCGATACAAATTCAAAAAATTTTTTGTGGTGTTTGGAACCTCATATAATGTAGAATTTAATGGTGGTAAGAGTTTTTTCGAAAACTTACAATATTACTACTGTTTAAGCCTTTCTTTGAAGGGCCTCCAAATTTTCAAAAAACTTATTTTCTTTACATTTTTATCAATTTTTGCGTGAAAAAATTACTGTAAAAGAACTGTCCATGTAATTACAGAGCCATTGGGGATATTTTTCACTAATTGCCTTAGGCAATTTTCGCTTTTTCTCATCATTTTTTTGATGATTTTTTCAACTTCCACAAGCATATATTCTACCAAAAAATCGATGACGTTTTACTTCATTTTTTACTTCGTACCTTGTCTCTCCTCAAATTTACTGTAGTCTGTCATCTGTTTTGAACATAACCCAACAAAAAAATCGCTTTTGTACGGCGTTCTTCGACCCTTTTCCTTTTCCTTTCCTCGACGCAAGAAGACGACGAAGATTCGCCCCTTCTGCAAACCGGAATTGACGTCTTCCACTTGCGATTCTTGTTATTTCATCACTCCGGGAATTTCGATAAATTTATGGGATTTGTGGGCAGAGCGGATCTGCTATGACATCTGATATTATTCTAGGCGGAAAATGAGCGAAAAAGAGTGAAATATGAGTGAAGATGGGGGATATGAAGGGGGAGTTTGAGGTGGGGAAGGATAAGAGGAGAAGGTCTCGTATTTTCGAACAATTTTGGTGATTTTTTTGGATCACTTTTGATACTTTTTGGCAGCTTTTTTCCGAAAAGTCGGGGATTTGGCTAAAAAAGATTTTTTTGATGAAGTTATATCGTATTTGGAGTGGATTTTTTGATAAGAAAAACATCTACACAAAAGATGATATATTTTCCCTAGCTTTTAAAATGGTTTTTGGATACCTTTTGATACTTTTTGACAGGTTTTTTCCAAAAATTTGGGGTTTTGGCCAAAAAAAGTTTTTCGATGAAGTTATGTCGTATTTGGAGTGAACCTTTTTACATTAGAAAGATCTACACAAAAGATGACATATTTTCACTAGCTTTCTAGAAAATTTTTGGATCACTTTTGATACTTTTTGACAGCTTTTTTCCAAAAAGTCGGGGTTTTGGCTAAAAAAGATTTTTTTGATGACGTCATCATATTTAAAGTGAATTTTTTGACATAAGAAACATCTACACAACAGATTACAGATTTGCCTTGGCCTTTAAAAAATTTTGGATACCTTTTGATACTTTTTGACACATTTTTTTCAAAAGTCTCCAAAATCAATTTTTTTCTCAAAAAATGTGTTAAAATTTTTCTGAGGATACTTTTTGACACTTTTCAACCTCTTTTTGACCTTCATTAACATAGACTTGTACCCTATTTTTCACCATTTTTTTATTTCCTTCTAATTTTCGACCTCCTTCTCTCGGTTTGCAGACATTTTCTCACCTTCCGAACATTGCCTCGAGGCCTTTTCCAGCTAACAGGTGTTTCCATGGCCCCATTTCTTTACGTTTCTCTCTTTTATTTCGCATTTTTGCGGTCCTTTCGGGTTGTTTTGATTTCTCAAGTTTTGGGATGGAAAATTGGGGCGGCAGACGAAAAAATTTGATGTTTTGGGATTCGGAATGGTTGATAATGCCTCTAAATCTATTTATAAATAGTCTGAAGATTTTATATTTCGTATTTTACAATAAAATTAGATTTTTTGATCAATTTTAGGCCAAAAAATTACATTTTCGTCTAAAATTTGATGATTTTTCGATAAAACTTGATTGATTTTTCAAAATAGAAGTTCTATTTTACCTAAATATCTTACTTTTGACCATCTGATAGTCTATAATTTAATTAATTTTTTTGATTTTAACTCAAAAATCCCCTAAAAATCAAATAAACCCCATCAAACTCTGGACTTTTGGGCTCCATCTGCTTCGAAATTTGATAAAATTTTATGTTCTCCCCAATTTATTCAAATCCCCTCGCATTTTTCGTCGGTTCCGATCGATTTGAATCGATTGGAATTCAAAATTGTCCCATTTTTCGATCCAATTTTGATACAGAATGTTCGAGGGCCAAAAAATTCGAAATTTTATGTGATTATGCACAAGTTTGCACAAAATTTGGGGCTCTCCGGCTTCGAAAAATTCAATTTTACTTCGTTTTTGATGATTTATTTTTTTTCGCACCGTGCAGAGCAATTTATTTTTTGTGCCGCACAGTGCAGCAAAAAGTATTTTTTTCGCACTGTGCAAAAATTAGCCATATCGCAAGTTCAATTTTTTGCACTGTGCGACAAATTTTATTTGTCACGCACAGTGCAGAAAAAAGTTTCTGGTGCGACAACTGCACTGTGCGAAAAAGGTGCAAAAAAATGTTTTTGCTGCACTGTGCAAAAATTAGCCATATCGCAATTTCAATTTTTTGCACTGTGCGACAAATTTCATTTGTCACGCACAGTGCGGAAAAAAGTTTCTGGTGCGACAACTGCACTGTGCGAAAAAGGTGCAAAAAAATGTTTTTGCTGCACTGTGCAAAAATTAGCCATATCGCAAGTTCAATTTTTTGCACTGTGCGACAAATTTTATTTGTCACGCACAGTGCAGAAAAAAGTTTCTGGTGCGACAACTGCACTGTGCGAAAAAGGTGCAAAAAAATGTTTTTGCTGCACTGTGCAAAAATTAGCCATATCGCAAGTTCAATTTTTTGCACTGTGCAGAGAACTCTATTTTCGCCGCACTGTGCGACAAACTTTATTTTTCGCCGCACAGTGCACAAATATGAATTTCTTGTGCGACAACTGCACAGTGCGAAAGAAATATTCTTCTGCACGGTGCAAAAATTAACCATCGCAAGTTTTACTTTTTTTTTGCACTGTGCGATAAATTTTATTTTTCTCCGCACAGTGCAATCCCAATCCCGTTTTTTCGAACCTTTAATCCGCACAGTGCAATGGCTTTTCAAGTTCGCGCACAGTGCAAGCGAACTTTAGGCGCACAGTGCAAGGATTTGGTTCTCATTTTCTGCGACAAATCGCTGGCTTCGCGTTCAAAATTGAATGCACAGTGCACAGAAATTTCCAGATGAATTGAAATCTGCACAGTGCAGAGAAATTTCAAAAATAATTTTTGTCTGCACTGTGCGGTTTTTGGTTTTTGCTCAAAAAATCTCATTTTTCGTTAATTTTCCACCAAAACTTTGACAAGCAAAGTTGCTCCAGACCGAGAAGGATTGATTAATTGGCGTTTTGCTCAACTTTCCCGCCGATTGCCTCCGTTTTCAGGGGTTTTTGAGGGGAATTTCGCGGAAAAACGGTGATTCGAAAGCAATTAAAAATAGATTTTCAGTTTTATACCCGAGCGATCGGCAGTGAGGGCAGGAAAACGGGGGGGGATGAGCGCGCATAAAAAAATCGATCCAATGACTAATTTTTGGCGTCGGTTTCTGCTGGGATTTCGACGGATTTTGGCGGATTTGGAGGGATTTTTTGAGGAAAACAAGCTTGAAAATGTATTTGTTATGTCTGTAAAAGGACGAAGACTGATATTTTATCTTATTTTCCCTTTTTTGAAATTAATTTTTAGCCATTTTTTTTATTCTCCATCCACCTATTGGTTGTTCTCCAAAAATTTTTTGAAAAACTTCGATTTTCCCTCATCATTTGGTCTCAATTACCCCTAAACTCACTTATTTACAAATTCTGTGTAAGAAAATGCCACTTTCCGCGCTTCAACAGTGACTTTTTGAATATCCAATAATTTTGTGACATTTCGTCCAAATTTCCGATAATTCCGTGGCATTTCGCGAATTTACGTTATACGGAGGTTTTTTCACTTGCAAATTGAATAACGATCCCGCTTGCAGAGTTCTTGATGAATGTGGGCGCCGAAGTGTTGGTGGCGCAACGGCCAGATGAGCTTCCAGATGCGGGACATCTGACCTCCCAACCGACCATCTTTTACGAGTCCGATGCCGCCGAAATGGATGCCGCTTGCTCGACAACAACAGGTAACCCCCTCCGCCCCAAAAAATATGTATAATACCTAGTACAACATACACAGATTTCAAAAGTCAAATTTTGATCTTCCAACCAAAAGTGTAAAAAAATCCAAACTTTGGACTTAGTCCACGGAGTGGACTTCGTCTATCTAGATGGACGAAAAAGCAAAAGTCCACGGGAACAAATTTGCCTGGACTAATACCGGCAGATTTAGTCCACACTTTGGATCCGGCAAAAAGTCCATGAAATTTTTGGACGAGATTGGGCGAATTTCGTCCAAAGTTAACTTTGGACGAAATCCGCAGGGGTCGAACAGACAAGTGCGCTGAAATTTATAAAGCACCTCCCATATATATTTTGATGTTTTCGGTGGGAAACTGATGGATTTATTGGGGAAATGAGTTATAGAAGGAAGAATATGCCCTAAACTTGCTGTAGATATTGGTTACATTCAGATTTTTGTTGATCAACATTACTTTTTACCTTATTGTAGGTTCAACACCCATTTTTTTGAAGTTCTTGCCGAAAATTATTCCCCCCGCCTGCGAAAGCCGTTCTTTTTGTAGAGAATTTGATATCACTCGATTCCTTATTTCATCCTCTATCTAAATCGCTAACTCTGATCCGTTTTCAGACGAAGATTTGCAGTCAAACTGCGCCAAAACGGTGCGTCGTCGGCAGCGCAAGTGCTCCTCGGATGATGGAATCCATTACGTTGACGACGATGATGGAGTCGAGTTCCAACTCGATCAACGGCATCTGAATCGGGTCCACGAGGAGTTGGAGAAGCTGAATATTGCGACGGATGTGATCAACAAGCTGGAATTGCAGTTGGACCGGGAGAGGGAAAAGTTCAAGGAATTGCATTCCCAATGGAGCAAGGAGTCGGCGGACATCAAAAAGAAGTACGATTCAGCGATAAAGAAGAGTCGGCCGTATTATGAAGCGGTTGCGGAGGTGAGGAGTTTGGTTTTTGAGGGAAATTTATATTACACTTGAGGTCTAGATGAAAAAGAGCCGAGAAATTGATTTTTTCAATGAAATTTGGTTGATGTTTGGATACTGATAGAAAGAATAGTCTATATCGTTGCTGAAACTCACAAAAAATTGTTGATTTTATTCGATTTTTATGAGCTATATTACACTTGAGGTCCAGATGAAAAAGAGCCGAGAAATTGATGTTTTTAATGAAATTTGTTTGTTGTTTGGATACTGATAGAAAGAATAGTTTCTATCATAGCTGAAACAGACAAAAATTTTTTGATTTTATGCGATTTTTATGAGTTATATTACACTTGAGGTCCAGGTAAAGATGAGCCAAAATTTTGTTGGCTTGATTGGAATTTCTTCGAATTTTTGCTATTATAAGTGGGAGGAGGTCTTATTAGTTCTTATTTTATTGAAATCGTTGTTTGCTTGTGATAATTTTGCGGTAAAATCATCTATTTTATATTGTACTAGAGGTCTAGATGGAATTTTTTTGAAAATGCGAGATTTTTAATAAATTTTCTTTGTTTTCTGGGGTTTAATAGAACTAGGACGAAAGATTAATGTTTGAAAAGCAATTTAGTGAAAAATTGAATTCTTTAGCTATTGAATTTTTCCGTTTTAGGAGCGAAAACTCCGCGAACAAGCGCAACAAGCGGCGGCCAGCTTCGAGCGCGCCAATTCCATGCTCCAAGTGGCCAAACAGCAAGTCAAACTCACGCAAGACAGTCTGACCCGTCAGAAAATCATCGAACCCGAGTGCTTGGAGGTCCTCAACCACCACATTCAGCGCGTCAACGAGGCCGAACAGCAGAGATTGGAAGCCGAAGAGACGCATCGAATCCTCTCCCACCGACTAATCGATGTGACGCAACGCGTCAAACAGCTGGCCAAGGAGAATGCCAGGTCCATCAAGAAGACTCGCCACTATTTTGATCTTCATATGGACTTTCGCAGACGCTTGGATCAGCAGAAACAAAAAATCTCGTGCTTGGAGTCGGAGGTGAAGCAGAAAAAGAGAGATTACACCAGTTCGTTGAGGAATTTGGAACAGATTTCGGACTCAATTCATGAGGAGAGAAGTGTAGGCGATTTTGGAGAGGTTTTTGGGATTTAGCCTGAGGGAATTTTGCGGGTTTTTGGAGATTTTTTGAAATTTTTCGTTGAAAAAATTATTTTTGAAAAAATTTTTTTCATGGACTAAATTAAGGCTTGCAATAGATAGAAAAGGGACTGTGATGAATTTTAGAGAGATTTTTATTATTTTGCCTAAGGGGATTTTGCGGTTTTTTGGAGATGTTTTGAAATTTTTGGTCAAAAAATATTTTTGAAAAAAAAATTTTTTATGGACTAAATTAAGGTTTTCAGTGGTTAGCAAGAGGGCTGTGATGAATTTTAGAGAGATTTTTATTTTTTTGCCTGAGGGGATTTTGCGTTTTTTAGGAGATTTTTTGAAATTTTTGATCAAAAACCATGATTTTTTGATATTTTTGAAGATTTCTCGAAATTAGTGGCTTGAATCAAGATTAATTTGCTTTTAAAATACGATTCAATTACTCTAGGAACAATGATTTCAGTTGTCAAGCGCGAAACACAGCGCGCGGACGCCGGATTCGACGAGGAAATCGGTCTCTGCAGTGGGACTCTCGAAATTAACGGCCGACGAAAACGACTCGGCCCTCAGCGACGACGACATCAAGCACTGCCGACATCAGCGCACCGAGTCCGGCATCACTGGACTGGATTCGCAGTCGTTGACGTCGGCGTCGTCGGTCAGCGGACTGAGCATGGGCTTCCAAAGGGATTCGATGGTGAGTTTTTTCAAAATTTTTGCTTTTTTTTGAAATTTTAGGATCTTTTTTGACGATTTTTGAATTGTGAAGGGTCTGAGAAGGACTCAAAGGGAATTTGAGAAGTTCTCAGAGAGTTTGAAGCAGATTATAAACTCGAAATTTGCAGATCAGCGAGTTCTGCGGCACCTTGGACCCTACTATAATGTTCGAGGAGGAATTCGAACTCAGAGAACAGACCACCGACTACAACAGCACCTCGGAAAGCCGTCGTAGGTCGGGTGTGATCCTCCTGGCACAACGGTTGATGGGCAACAGCCACGACGAACACCCCTCGCCCATCTCTTCTGGGTAAGCCCCGCAGCGCTTTAGTCGGCTTATTTCGGTATTTTGGTTAGTTAATTTGATCATTTTTTGAAGTTTTTTTGTGGATTGTGGGGTGTGAGAGGGATTTTTGAGGAGGAGTTTGGGCATGCAGTTTGAGTTTTGATTAAAAATTATATTATTTTAGGTGTTTTTGGGGGATTTTTTGAATTTTTTGGTGGAAGAAGGAGTTTTAGTGAAGATTATGGATAGATATAGTAATAAGAGAGTTTAGGATGTAAAATGAGTGAAGAATTCAAAAGATTTGACCTTGTTTTAGACAATTTTTTTGAGATTTTTGCTGTTTATGCCAATTTTAGGTAAATTTGATAAATTTTTGCAAATTTTTTTGATTTTTTTTGATGATTCAGATAACTGAGGGTCTGCTGGTGTCCTAGAAGTTTTGTTTTTGCCAAAATTTGTTTGATTTTTTTCGCCAGTTTTTTAATTTTTTCAAATTTTTGTTAAATTTTTTAATTTTTAATGGTGATGGATAAGAGAAATAGCATTTTTATGTCTTGTTAGAGTGAGCTTGATGTGTTTTGTGATTTTTGTGAGGAAAAAATTGAGATTTTTTGTTGGATTTTGCTAATTTTTCGCGATTTTCAGCTGCTCCGACGACCAAGATCTCCGTTACCAGACGAAGCCGGAGGGCATCACCTCCGCCGAATCCCCCATCCAGTCATAGAGAGTACAAAGCGGACTGTAACACCTTGCCACAGCACCTCAAGCGAACATACGCGGTATTGCGAAAGGAATGGCTAGAATTTGCAGTTTTTTCGACTAAATTCCTATTTTTTTTGTAATTTTCTCCACTACTTAGGCCGTGGAAACGGATTAACTGACTTTTGAATGGTCTTTCCTGGCACTGCGAAGGCTTTGAACATCTTTAAATGAGATTTTTTGACCGAAAATTGCGATTTTTTCGAGATTTTATGTTATTTTAGCCTAAATTTGGATGATTTTTCAATTTTTTGGAGGTTTTGAGAGTTGCAAAGCGAAAGCAGTGCCAGTATAGTAAAAAAGAAGATTTTCCCCGCGAGAAACGCTCAATTTCCATATTGCATTTTCAATTTGAAGGTGAGAAAAATCAAAATTTTTCAATTCTTTCCAATCGATTTTGGTTTGTCTTTTACTTAGCATAATTTACGCACGATTTTTCAAAATTTTTTATCCATTTTCCAAAAACGGGTCCTCTAATTTTGTCTGTTGTAAGATATTTAGTCGATAGTTTGATCTAATCACCCTTTTTTTCTTTTCTTTTTGTAAATAACCCTTGTTCTTTGTTTCATCAGGCATTCGAAAAATGTTCAATAAATACGAAAGATATTGGCCGCTGGAAATTTGTTTGAATTGGAAAGGGAGAGATTTTTTTTTTGTAATTTTGAGGAGAAAAAGTTTGGGATTTAAAAAATTTTTTTTTTAATTTTTGGCCTAGATTTGGTAAAAAAATCTGGTAAAATTGGTGCATTTGGACTTGTTGCTAAAAGAAAGGCTTCGCCTAATCGCAAAATTGGGGATCGCACAATTTTTTGCAGCGATTTTGCTCCATGAGGAAAAATGCACAGTGCAAAATGAGATGAACCGTGTGCACAGTGCGAAGAGAGTCGAAGTCTGAAAAGAGGGCGCACCGTGCAAAAAAAAGGTAAGTGCACTGTGCAAAATGTTTGGAAAAGACGGTGCACAGTGCAAAAAGAGGCGACATGTCGCGGCATGCACAGTTCAAAAAGTCTAAAGAGGGGTTGCACAGTGCAAAAAAAATTGGAAAAGGGGTTGCACAGTGCAAAAAATGAAAACAGGGTGCACCGTGCAAGAAGATCGAAACGCACTGTGCAAAATGTTCCGAACAGGTGTTGCACAGTGCAAAAAGTGGAAAATGCACTGTGCAAACTCGACGACTGAAAAGAGGGCGCACAGTGCAAAAAATATCTGAAAAGGGGTTGCACGGTGCAAGAAGAAGTAAAATGCACTGTGCAAAAAAAAGTTTGAAAGAGGGTTTTACAGTGCAAAAGAGGGAACTGCACTGTGCAAAACAAAGTTAAATGCACAGTGCAAAATGGTATAAAAATGGGGTGCACAGCGCAAAAAGGAGTAAACCGCTCAAAAAAGTCTACGTACTTTATGCAATGACTAGTACAGTGAGGGACCTGATCCAGTGGCCAAAATGTACCATTTTGCATCCGGGAAGCATCAAAAATGTGGCAAAATGCTTCCCTCTCCAAATGAAAAAACTTCCTTTTGCAGGGCGTGCTCTTTCCCCCCACAAAAAGAGCGGGCGCGTTTTTGAAATCTGAGTTTTTTCACTTGGACAGGGAGGTGTTTTGCCACATTTTTTATGCTTCCTGGATGCAAAATAGTACGTTTTTTGCCACTGGATCAGGTCGCCCGCTGTAGGTAGACCAACAATGAAAAAGTTGAAGGCCATCAGAAGGTAGTACATACAATGAGGGACCGGATCCAATGGCAAAAAACGTCTCATTTTGCATCCCGTAAGGGACCAAAATGTCTCCAAATCCTTCCCTTCTCTAAGCTAAAAAACCTCGATTTGAAGAGCCCGCCTTGAAGGAAAGGGCGCGCTTTTCGAAACGGAGTTTTTTAGCTTAGAGAAGGGAAGGGTTTGGAGTCATTTTGGTCCCTTCCGGGATGCAAAAGGAGACGTTTTTTGCCGTTGGATCAGGTCCCTCACTGTACATTGAGAAATTTGATTTTTTTCCCTCCCAAAACCTCTAAAGCGTCTTTTTATTCCGAAATTCAAAAGGAAATTACCGTACCTTTCTTTACAATAATGCCTTGATCTATATCGGAAAAAAGTCTATGCACTTTATGCAACGCCTAGCAAACTGATGAAACTTTTCCCACATCTTCTCTGATCTCATATCCAAGTAGCCGAAGCGCCGCTCCGAACCCCATTCGCAGCCCCAATAAAATTCTTATTTGTATTATTCAAAACCGGGATTGTTTTTGTCTCGAGCCGAGGTCGTCGGCCCCCCTCCACGATAAATAAATATTAGTTTGCGGAGCAAAATGAGTGCCTTCGGAGTCTAATTGGTCCGAAAATAAAATAAACCCAATTCTCACCTGTGTGCGCGCGCGATTTGATGAGAGGCGAATCCGCAAACTCCCCCCGGTGGAGGAAGGAAGAGCCCCCCACAACGGAATCGCGGCTCAAGTTGAGGGCGAAATTTTAGGGCTCATTTGAGGGAGGATTTAGGGAATGGGATCAAGGTGGTGGGGGAGGGGAACGGTAATTTTACCTTGAATTGAAGAATAAAAATGATGTTTTGCCGAGGATTGGCACTGAAAACTTGGGGCAAAAAACCCTGACAATTTTCACAGTACGTTTTTGCCGGGTCGCTGCGAAAAATTTTGGTTTTTGCACCAATGTCGTGCGCGGTGCCCATTTTTCAAAGCGACGGCTCGTTGCGACACTTTTTTTTTTGCGCGCAACAACTTACAGGGGAAGTACTCCAAGTGCAACTCTCAGATTTTCTTTAAATTTTGCACACACTTCGGGTATGGTCTAAATATCAATTCCTCAAAGTTTTAGCTCGCGCTTTGCGGGCGCCGCCGAGATATGGAACGATTTTTGCGGCCGAGAGAGCACGCTAAACGTGGAGAGCGGTGAGAGAGAAAAACGCTTTTTGGCCATAACTTTGGCAGTTTCGAGCAGAAAAATTTGATTTTTTGTAGAAACATTATCTTTTACGGTAGAAATAGGCATGAAACTTTTCGTGCCGAAATTCGGCAAAAAAGTCCTAAATTTTTTTGACTTTCGATCTAAAAATCTCGGTTATTTCTGCAAAGCGCGAGCTAAGATTCTCGCATATATCTTAGAAAAGATTATTCTAAATTTCTGCCAAGTTTCAGCAAAATCTGAGAGTGGCATTTGGAGTTCTCCCCTTGTTAATATTATTGCGTATAATAAGTCATCTACTTTTCCCAAAATCATATTTTTTCTGGCTTGACTAGCAAAGATATGGCCATAGATATTTCATCTTTTATAGTCTGGAATACACATATATATTTTTAAATTTCGTATTTTACCTTGCATTTTTTGATCTTGGATATGAAAAACAACTATACGAAAATTAAAATATGTACAATTGATCCTTTTTTGACCGAAGTGAAAAGGAAACCAAAATTTCGAAAGACAAAAGCTTCCCATGAATGGTGATCAATCGGTCATTCCTCGTTACCCCGCGGCGATATGAAACATTAGGCTCGGACCGCTGGCTATGGAATGGCCACAAGACCTTTGGCTGTCTTTTCAATCGTACAGTTTTGTAACGTGGGGTTTTTGAAGAGGGGTTTGAAGTGTTTATAGCAAAAGTATTTTTAACTCCTCTTTTGTAATTCTCTGTATGTTATTCTGGATTGATTTTTTGGGGCGTTTATTATGGTTTTTCAAACGTGCGTAGACTTTTTTTCAGCGGTGCACTGTGCATTTTGCCTCTTTTTCTGCACGGTGCAAATCTTCCAAAGCATTTTGCACTGTGAAGTTTGTCATGGTTTCGTACGGGGCAAACTCTTTTTCAAGTCATTTTGCACGGTGCAAACATTCCAAATCACTTTGCACTGTGCATTTTGCCTCTTTTTTTTTGCACGGTGCAAACCTTCCAAGTCATTTTGCACAGTGCATTTTATCATTTTTCTCGCACTGTGCAAACTCTTTTCAGGTCATTTCGCACAGTGCATTTTATCATTTTACTCGCACGGTGCGGGCTTTTTCAACATTTTGCACTGTGCATTTTGTCATCTTTTCGCACGGTGCAAACCTTCCAAATCATTCTGCACTGTGCATTTTGCCTCTTTTTTGCACAGTGCAAACCGTTTTCAGGTTATTACGCACAGTGCATTTTATCATTTTACTCGCACGGTGCGGGCTTTTTCAACATTTTGCACTGTGCATTTTATCATTTTTCTCGCACTGTGCAAACTCTTTTCAGGTCATTTCGCACAGTGCATTTTATCATTTTACTCGCACGGTGCGGGCTTTTTCAACATTTTGCACTGTGCATTTTGTCATCTTTTCGCACGGTGCAAACCTTCCAAATCACTTTGCACTGTGCATTTTATCGCTTTACTCGCACAGTGCAAGCTCTTTTCAGGTCATTTCGCACAGTGCATTTTGTCATTTTTCTTGCACAGTGCAAACCTTCTAAATAATTTTGCACTGTGCATTTTGTCATCTTTTCGCACGGTGCAAACTCTTTTTAGGTCATTTCGCACAGTGCATTTTATCATTTTACTCGCACGGTGCGGGCTTCCTGAACATTTTGCACTGTGTATTTTGCCCTTTTTCGCACGGTGCAAACCTTCCAAATCACTTCGCACTGTGCATTTTATCGCTTTACTCGCACAGTGCAAGCTCTTTTCAAGTGATTTCGCACAGTGCATTTTATCATTTTACTTGCACGGTGCAAACCTTCCAAATCATTTTGCACTGTGCATTTAGCCCTTGCGTGGACATTTCTTCACCTCGCACCGTGCACAAAAATCCCCGATTTTTTGCACCGTGCATTCACCTTTTTTTGTTGTTGCACTGTGCATTTGAAATATCGCGGCGACGTAAGCTTTTCACGTGTTCGCCGTCGCGGTTTAGCGGAAGGATTTGCACAGTGCAATTTTGAGGTTTGCACGGTGCGAGAAGAAAAAAGAAAGATGCACTGTGCACTGGCGACAAGCATG